AAAAGTACAGTTTCAGCCATGTAGTTTAGTTCATTGCAGTATATGCTAAGAAAAAAATCTAAAAACGACCAACTTGAAGTTTGAAAAGTAAATGGCCAATTACCAGGAAGATTTTCTGATACAGTGGCGTCAAGAACATTTTCTCCAATAGCTTCAATAAATGCAGGGCCACCGGTAACTGCTCCTTCTTTTTGACTGGTGACAAGCACAACAATGCCCTTGTTATTGCCCTCTTCAACAGTGGGATACCAGCGCTCCAAAACTTGGTCAGCATACTCGAAAGCATCAGCTTTGCTCTGCAACCAAATGCTATCTATCCTCAGTATGCAAAACCTCAAACTCCAACCACTTATAAACTGTTTGATCATGTGTTCTATTTCACAAATTACAGACTTTTGCCAAGACTGTATAACCGAATCTAGTTAGCTACTAATTTTCTTAGCACTAACCATTATCTGGTAAGATAAGTCCTCAACAATCAAAAGCTTATAGGCCATTTGCTTTCATATCTATTATCTGATACAAAATTGAACTATTCCATACATACTTTTAGCTTTATAGTAAATGTATGTTTTGTTAACTTGTCAAGGGAATGATTATGAAACTACCTTTGTTGAGTTAGACACATAATTGGCATAAATCAAATTCAAATTCAAATATTATTTTATTCACAACTTGCAGTAAATAAATGGAAAACAAATACTGAGGAATTTGAATCTCTGCATATTTGTTTTTAATAGCTAAAAAACCAAAGTTTAGAACTCCATTTTCCATTTTCTTTCTCCCGGTTTCCTCAATGACCAATTACAGACTTCGTAACAATTTCCTACAATCTTACAACTGAAATTTCCTACTGTTCATCAAGAGTCATTAACAAAAGAAAGGATAATCTAGAACAAAAATTCTTACAGTGAGCTTCCTAACAGTGACAAAATTGATATGGAAATTCTTCCTGGATTCCAAATCTGACAGCAGCCGCTTCAAATCGGACTTGGTAACTCTACTGAGCACACCCGCATCATCAACCACGTATGAATCCTTCGGTGGCCCCTCATTGAGCACATCAAACTCAGACGCTAGTGCATTGTCACTATGCAACAGTGGGGAAAAGTTGAGAGCCAAAGAGAGAGCTAAAGCCGCTAGCGCTTGTTGGGCACGAGTTAACCAGCTGTTGCTGGTACGTACCTTTGAAGTAGATTTTAATGGCTGAGAACTTTGTGCTCTGAGGCTGCAAGAAAAGGGTTTGTAGAGAAATAGTGGATTTGATATGGGTTGGAGAGATTGGGGCAAATGAGTGTGTTTCAGAGATGGAGCTTTTGGATGGAGGAGAGGGGAAAGAGAGTGGGAAGACAGTAAGGTATCCATTGAAAAGAGAGATAGGAAAATGGGAGGGAGAGTGAAAGTGTTTCAGAGGAAGAAGAAGAAAAGATTTTCCTTGCTCTGTATCATTCTCTGGTTTCTTTTTGGGTTGGGATTTTGGGTGGCTTGGATTTGTTCTGGTGTTGGATTGGTGGGGATGAATTTCATTTTTCAGGATAAAATGAACCATCCTGGCCGGTGAGAGATCCATGGGCATTTTGGTCATTTCGCCAACATAGCGGGTAACTTGATGAGTTTTGTAAAAATATTAATTAACAAATTACAAAAGATAAATTTTAAAATTAAATATATGATTTATTATAGTCTAATATGTAGGGGTTTATTTATTTATTTATTATTATTATTATTCATAAAATCTGAAATGTCGAAACTAGCCTGCATTATTTAGAGAAACGCAGAGATTCTCTCTAATACATACATAGCCTGGCTCATCTTCTGCCCCACTTTATCCAAAATTTCTGTATCAAATCCCCGCCATGGGTTCTATCTTCACTTGCTCATGGCCATTCTTCCTCTCTCCCTCTCTCTTCACCCACCACCAAAACCTCACCCAAAACCCCAAACCCACTTCTTCCTCCACTCTCATACCGACCACATCCACCACTGTCTTTACCAGTCCCAGAACTCCCAACAAAACTACCTGTAAAAGGGACTTCATTCTCAAAACCACTTCATTTTGTATAACTCTTTCCTTAGCCCTTCAAAACCCATTAGGTGTATCCTTGGCCGAACCTTCTTCGCCTTCAAAACTTGGTCTTTCTGGCATTGCCAACACAAAATCGTGGTTCCAGTTTTATGGCGACGGGTTTGCCATCCGGGTCCCTCCTCAATTTGAAGATATCATGGAGCCCGAGGTATATTTTCTTCATAGAATCGTGCATGTGTTTGGTTGTAGTTAATGGGAAGTTGTGTTTTTGCTTGGATCGTGTTATTTCAAATCGGGTGTGTTCTATTAGTCTTTTTTTTTCCTTTTCTCCTGCTGCTCTGGACTATGGATCATTTACCCCAATTGGTAATGGAACAAGATGATGTAGAAGTAAATTTTTGGATAGTTAAAGGTGATATTAGTTTAGATGCAAAATTCATGTATTGACTTTGTTTATTGCTTGATCTTTCAAGGATTTCTCTGCTGGCTTGTCTCTATATGGAGACAAGGCAAAGCCCAAGACCTTCGCGGCACGATTTGCATCTCCTGATGGGTATATATATAATATGCAGATCCTCAAATTACCTCCTGTTGATCTCTCTATTATGCTTCTTAATTTCCTGTTCAGTTTTACTTTATTCCCTATTTCTTCAGACTGTAGAAAAACTTGCTTGCCATTGTCTTGGTTATAGTCAAAATTTATTATGCATTTATATTTGATTTTCTTACATGTTATTGCTTGGTTAGGTCTGAAGTATTAAGTGTTGTCGTCCGCCCAACCAATCAGCTCAAGATCACCTTCTTAGAGGTTTGTGTTGTATTGTCGTGGAGATTTTCCCCCATAATATATGGTTTACTCACTTGAAGTCAAAGATTTCTTTGCATTTTTATACTTAAGGATGTGTGACTGTTTTTTTTTTTTCGCTATCGTTACATGCTGTATATGACCAGTGTCAAATAATGAGGCCGGTTTGCTTAAGTGCTCCTATAAAATATGTTCATTCATGTTCGCTTCTCTAATTGCATAATTTACCTTGTGGAATTGTTTGGTGTACTGTGCTCCATCATATCCTCGTGAATATTTAGGTGAATCTTTTTGGTCTGTTTTACAATATTCCTTGATAAACTCATCAAGGTATTTACACAATATTATCCGATGTTTGAGCAGGCCAAAGATATTACTGATTTAGGTTCCTTGAAAGAAGCAGCAAGAATTTTTGTTCCAGGTATTTTACATTTTGTATTTTGTAGACTTAAGTATTCTTCAATAATTATAGGTTGTGAATTACACGACTCGATGTAGTATCACATAATCCAAAAAAAGAAGAAATCATATATAACTGTTCCTCGAATATCTTTTGTTCTTCCATCCCTTTGGTTTATTGTGATGCTTGTTTATCGGTAGGTGGAGCTACTTTATACTCTGCTCGGACACTAAAGATAAAGGAGGAGGAAGGTCTCAGGCAAGTTATTTTTTCTCATTCTCTAGATGGATGTCAGCGTTTACAAAGTATAGGAAATATTACACTTGGGCATATTTTTGTTCACTATGAAGCATATGAATCGAGCTTTAGACTTTCTAATCAGGGATTAGGTTTCTAATGTATAACATTAATGCTTAATTTTTTTCAGGACCTATTACTTCTATGAATTTGGTAGAGATGAACAGCATGTAGCACTAGTAGCTGCAGTCAGTAGCGGAAAGGTCAGGGGTGCATGCTTTTACTGCTTCACTTAATAACTAAGATGTTTTGTTGTCATTTTAACGCGATACTTCTGTCTTGTAATTTCATTTCCTTGTTTATTTGTTGCAGGCAATCATTGCTGGAGCAACTGCACCAATGTCCAGGTGGGATGATGATGGTGTCAAGCTTCGTTCTGCTGCTATTTCGCTGACAGTTCTATAGTCTTCCGCCAATAGCTCATTTGGCAGATTTTCGGATCTTAGATACCTATTTACTTAGTTTAGACAAGAGAAAGCTACAATGAACTTTCTCTCAGTGCAGTTGCTCGAGCATTGTCATGCATCGATGAATATCAGAAGCAGAAACAAACTGGACACTGAGATTCTTTTTCATATTGCTCTACTTCTAGGGGACAACCCTTGTGCCCTTGGAAAAGGTGGGGCCATGCTATTACAATGTCAAACTTGGAATAACTATTAACGAGAATTCTTTTGCAAATTTAACCTGCGGATGATCCAGTCATGCAACTTCTGGTTCGTCGCCGACTGCTTTCTTTTCTTCTAATGGCTTTTGAAGCAGCGACTTGAAGCTTATAGAGTTTGAATGTAATATTGATTTGAGGGACTATTATCTTTCATTTTTTTATTTTAAGATGGCATTTATTGCTCAAACAATTTTGAAATTGAAGTAATAAATTTTGTTCTGCTTTATTTATCCATTCCACCTAAAATTCTCCAGTACATTTGCCCAGTGTCCTAAACTGAGATAAGAACACTGGAATAGTTCGTGAATTAATGGTGACCCCAGATTTTTAAATCTTTTAACAAATGCAGTCAATTAACCATTAAAAATTATTTCTATTGTCCAAATCGGTAAACAGAAGTTAATTCATGTTACAGGTTATAAATCTAACTAAAAAAATTAGAACTCAGCAATATACTGCAACAATAATATCTGCAGTTTCAGAACGTATGTTAATATGGTGCAATTTCAAATGCTTGTGATTCTAAATTTTCTTCAAACACCACTGAGAGGCAGAAGGAAATTCCTTTCTTGTCTCAATATATCGAGCTGGTAGGTTGCAGCAATTGTAGAGATTCTGATTTGTAGAGGATTATTCCTCAAGATCAACTACCAGTCTTCCCTCCAATTCTACAAGTCTTGAACGTGAAAACCAACCAAGCAAATCCTCAGAGCTCTCTAATATGAAATTTAGGTGAAGACTTCGTGTTTGACATCCCAAATTTGGCACTTGCTCAGCATCTATGAAACCCACATCTGTATATACCAAATTTAGCTACTCAACACCAGAAATGGCTGAAGACTTAGCAGGTTTTCTTAGCACAACCACCATTATTGCACTGACTGTCTTCTTCACCCTCCTCTGTGCCATCATCATCATAGGACACGTCCTTGAAGAGAACCGATGGGTTAATGAGTCAATCACTGCTCTTCTCTTGGTGGGTACTTATAAAATCTGAGCTTTCTTCTTGTTTGGCTCTTTTATACTGTCGTAGGTTAAGGTCAGTTATTCGGCTATTTAATTACAGGGGTTGTGTGCTGGAGGAGTGGTGTTGCTGGTGACTAAAGGTTCTGATTCTCATATACTTGTGTTTAGTGAGGATTTGTTCTTCCTTTATCTGCTGCCACCAATCATTTTCAATGCTGGGTATGATTTTTCCATCTGCTACTATTTTAATTTCCATGATCTGTGAGTTGGTTGCATAAAAATTTTAGCTTGAGTTCTAATTCTCTGGGTTATGAAATTTTTTATTCAAGAGCTATGTAATTTGTCCATATTTTTTGTTTATAGTTATGCATGGAAATTAAATGTTTGGAGAAGACCAAGTGCAGCCAATAATTGTTGGGAAAAAACTTTTCCAGATTCCAGGTCAAAAAGAAGCAATTTTTCAAGAATTTCACCATAATATTGTTGTTTGGAATACTTGGCACCGCAATTTCATTCTGCATCATCTCTGTGGGTAAGGCCTAGGAACATATTTTGTATTGCATAACTGTATCTAGTTTAAAGCATTTTTAAACTCATTTTCTATCTCGTATTCCATCAGAACAGACTTAGCTTCGCATGTATGTTTTTGGAAAACCCTGCAGGTGACTTCCTGCTGTTTACAAGAATCGGCGTGAAATCTCTAAGTACTCAGGATTACCTAGGTGCTTTAGTTTGTCTTTTTTTTTTCTTTTTAATTCTGTTCTTCTGCCCTTGTGCATGTGTTGGGTGAAAGTTTGTTGTTTTATACTTATCTTTGAGCATTATTCGTTTGCAGCTGTTGGTGCTATATTATCAGCCACTGATTCAGTATGTACATTGCAGGTACTTATGATAATTTCAAAAAATGATTGTAAGTTTAATCAATCATATCAAAATCTTAAGCTAATGGGAAATGAGCTAATTTATTTTCTATATCCTAATAAATACTAGTTGCTAAACAGAAGCTTCCTCATGGCAGTTGATTATTGTCTCTAACGCGCAAATTTTCTCCTCCATGTTTAAAGGTTCTTAACCAAGATCAAACACCCTTCCTTTACAGTGTGATATTTGGGGAAGGAGTAGTAAATGATGCTACATCTATTGTGCTTTTCAACGCAGTCCAGTCCATAAACTTCAACAACCTAAATGTCATGATCATCTTGAAATTTTTGGGAACATTTCTCTATCTGTTCTTCACCAGCACAGCACTTGGTGTAGTAGTAAGTAATGTTTATAATCATGAATCAGTTTCTAGCTAAATTATGAATCAATTCCTGAGCTCTGAAGAATCGAGCTTTGATTTCCTTCCAACATGCTTTGCTATCTTTCAGGTGGCTCTTCTAAGCGCTTATATCATAAAGACGCTTTACTTTGGAAGGTATAATAGAATGTTTTATATCCTTTTTCTCTAGCATCTATGATTACGATGAGGTTATGAATCTTAACATGACCAAAATAGCCTTCAATATTGGATGGTAAGTTTGATTTGCTTGCAACTCGGGCTTTATATCTATTCTGACATTATATTCTGGCATTGACAGGCACTCTACAGATCGTGAAGTAGCACTTATGATGCTTATGGCCTACTTATCTTACATGTTGGCTGAGGTAATTGTCAAAGAATCATAGTCTTAGTCTTGAAAAATTACGTTCCCCTTTTTCACTCGAAACACTAATATTCTTATCCTCAATGTTCGTGAGGTTCTGTATTTACAAACACTTTCTTTTAAGGGAACGAGACCTTTTTTCCGAAATCAATGGTTCATCCTTTTGTTGCTTTTGCAGCTTTTGAGCCTCAGTGGGATTTTGACAATTTTCTTTTGTGGCATTGTCATGTCACATTATACATGGCACAACATAACTGAAAGCTCAAGGATAACAACCAAGTAAGAGCCAAAAATATGTATCATGTTTATTATTGTGATCAACTCTGGTTAATAAGCAACTATCAAGCATCTGAATCCCTAGATACTTCATCCAATCACTCAAAAGTGGTGCTATGGAAAAGTCTGATAGAGACATGCAAAATCTTTTCTTTTATCTTTCTATGACACATGATCTTAATGGCTGCAGTATCTGAATTTTTCAGGCATGCCTTTGCGACAATTTCTTTCATTGCGGAAACTTTTATATTCCTATACGTTGGTATGGATGCCCTGGACATTGACAAATGGAGAGATAGCAGTGCAAGGTAATACTATTTTGCTCTTGTAATGTATGCCTAGAGCAAAAAGTTAGTTGACAAGTCGATCTCAAATCTGCTAATCCATTATTGGCCAAAGCCAGACTGCCATGTTTCTCTTGTCTCAAGTTTGAATTCTGGGGTTCTGTCTCTATTACCAGCCCTACTGGCTGGCCCAGAAAGAGTAGACCTGGATTCTGGAGACAAGTTAACAATTTGTGAATACAATAATGGGGGAATACTAAATTCGAAGCTTGTCTTTGCTCGTGCTGCCATATCCGAAGTCCTAACCATAGCTATCTTGTTTTTCATCTTCTTGATTCAGTCCAGGCACCTCTATTGCTGTTAGTTCAACATTTTTTGCCTTGGTGTTGATTGGAAGGGCAGCATTCATATTCCCTCTAGCAAATATCTTAAACTATGTTAGAAGGAGCAAGAATACGAAAATTGAGTTTAGACAACAGGTGATATATCATCGCCAAGGACCTAATCAAACTTATCTCAATTGAACTTTTCTTTGGTCCAGCATTTGCTGACTGTTATAAATCTCAGTGTATAATGTGGTGGGCAGGCCTAATGAGAGGTTCAATCACCATTGCTCTATCCTATAACCAGGTAACCGATAACCTGATACTCGAAAATACAGTTTTAACATTTTAAATCTCCAGCTGGAAAATTGATCTACTGACATGCAAAGTTTGTGTCACAGTTTTCAAATACTCACAGTTCATCAACTGAGGACGCTGCACTCATGATTACCTCTACCATAATTGTTGTTTTGTTTAGTACAGTGGTAATTTCCATTACTTCACTGTTCTTATCTGAATTAGATCGCTGATTCTTCTATCATTAACTTAATCTTCGGCCTTTTATATTCGTTTTTCTTATTTATATTCTAAATGTATAATTTTAGTATTATGCGAAAGAATTGAGTTTAATTGAATTTTTTAAAAAGTTTAAACTAATATAAAATAATCAAATCTTTAATTTACATATAATAATCTACATCTATATGTTACAACCTTCTAATAGATTATCTCCCGAATATGTTTACAACATTGCTGATCCCATCCGTAAACAGGTGTTTGGTTCCATAACCAAGCCCCTGATAGAAAGAGTGCTGCTAAGACATCAAAAACCTGCAATTCCTGATGCAACCGATAATCCCAGTCTGGATGACTTGAGACTACTGTTGACCGAAAATGGCGAACCAAGCGAGCAAGGCAACACCGGGCCAGCTCCGAAAAAAAGCAATCTGAGAGTGTTAATTACTCACCCTACCCCAACTGCTCACTGCCTGTGGAGAAAATTTGATGACAGATTCATGAGGCCCGTCTTTGGCGGCCGAGGATTTGTTCCTCACATTCCCAGTTCCACAACTGGTGCAAATTATCAGAATTCTTGAATCACAGAGTTATCAGCATTCCTATTTTTTATTGTATCATTGTTGGCAGATAAATTCTCAATGGTTGCCTGAATTTTTCCTAGGTAGTATTATTAACGTATTATGAATACATGTAATATATATTTTACATGTATATATGTATGCACACACATGTATGTTTTAGGTTGATGAAAATATTTTTAATTTTCTAAAAGAATATTAAAAATATATTTATATTTTAATTTTCAAATTTTCGTAAGTGTGTTTTTTTTATTTTTTTATTTTAAGTTTTCAATTTTTATTATTGCTTTCTTTTTATTTTTTTATTTTCTGTTTATATCATTAAACTAGTATTCTATTGGACGATCCCGCACCCATAGTTAAGCTATCGTGGGCTGCGTACTACCCGATACTTTCTCACTTAAACCCTGCAGAAACTAAGAACTAAAGTCTTTTCTGATCAAACCATCACGTTAGGGTTTTGGATTCAGTTTAATGATCGCATATGGCGTTGTTAAGGAGATTGCAAAGAGTTCGCGCTGTTTATCAGACGGTTGAGGCACAGGAGTTTTCGCATCTGTGAGTACCCACTTCATTTTTAACTGTCTTGATTAGTTCCTGGGGAAATATGTGAAAACGAGAAGGAAATTGTCAGATTTTTTTAATTAACTTTGAGATTTGTTATACTCGAAAAAGAAAACTCGCTTCTGCGTATGGTTAATCTCTGAATATGGTTCTCGAAATTTGGAACCTTGAGGTGTTCTTTAGCTGAGGGCTTCTTCTTTGATTCTCTGTTTCCCTGCTGAGAAAATGAAGAAAAAGAACTACGAGAATCTTTAGGCACTTCATTCAAATGATGTTTATTGCACGGTCCATTTTTTGTACGCCTAGTCAGATTAAAGCTGCGAATTCTGTATAAAAAAGGCTTCATTTTTCATTTCCGTCTTTTCCCTGTGTTTTATACAAATTGGACTTCAAAAAAAAAAATGCTCTTCATTTGCTTGGCATGAAGTTACTTTTTTTTGACATCTTGTTCATTATTTTTCAGTACTGGGAGCTCGAGGAGTTACTTCCCTGGTCTTTCTCGTGGTAGTTCTTTTCTGATAACAAATCTATTAAAATTTTGATTACATACTAAAGTTATTTGTGCAACTTTTAGTTTTGTCATTGTAAGCTGATGTGTTCTATGTGATCAGTTCCTGAACTTTATAGCCGAAATTTTTCTTCTTGCTTGTATAAGAACCAGAATGCTCTTCCATGGACACAGAGCAGTACAACGATGCTTCATTCTAGGATGGTAATCTCCCGACTAGAAAGTTAGTTGGTTGGATGAAAATCTATCATGCTTTTTTTTAGCTGATGTAGGTGCTGTTTTGTCCCTAAGATTGTATCCTTTTTGGTCCTGATTTAGGGTGCTGAGTTGTTGATTTTCGTGAATGACAAAAGGTTCTTAGCAGTGCAAGCACAAGCCCATCCACAAGCGAGACAAATGGTTTGTACTCTCTGTAAATTTCAGCTTGATTTGAGGTGGTTGCTTTCTGTTTATTTTCGTTTCTCTTTAAAAGGTGCTTCCACATTCTTAGCCATTGTCCATAATTTTAAATGGAACTAATCAGACATGATATGTTCCATTTTAGTAAGAAGCGGTATAAAAGATTTGGAGAGGACAAGCCCACAAATGTATGGGAACATTGATGCAATATGTACTTCTTCAGCCAATTTGATTATCGATAGATATTCTTCGGAAGAAAAACTAATAGTTTTGTGATCAGAATGCTTTTGATTATGCCAAAAGAATGCGAAATGATGGCTGAAGATCCACACACATGCTATTATATAGTTTGAAAGGATTTATCAATTTTAACCATAACCAATTATTTATAATGCTGCCGCCAAGAATCTGCAAGTTTTTGTTTTTATATGTATTAACATCTTTCTAGATTGTTTCTCACACTTTAGATGAGATGGGCTGCAACTCTCTTTTTTGTGTGAATAAAAGTTTCTACTTGTGAAAAGATCCACTTATTATATGTTGGATGTAAATAGTAAAATGATTACCTGTTCCTCTTGTCATGTTTGTAGAGTGCTCTTAAAGTGTCAATGTTGAGCCCTGGATTCATATATGAACCTTATGCACCTCGTGAAAAAATCTCATTTTGGAAGAGGTTAGTTGTATTTTAAGTAAGTTGCAAATTGATTTTCAGGCATACAGCCTTTTTCCCCTTTATCAGCCCATGGTCAGGGGGAATTTCCCCGTAGTTATCATCAAATCATGTTATTGACTTGCATTATAAGGTTATATTTATTTTTTTTCTTATTATCAAATTCACTATGAAACGTTCATAACAATTATTGCAGAGATGGATAATTTATTTTAGTTGTTAGATTCCTTGTGAAAGTAGGGATTCTTGAAGGAGCAGAAGTGGAAGGTAATGAATAAAAAGACATTGGTTGTTCTAGAGTTCTAAATCTAAAATGGTTCATGAAATCACTTCTGGATGAAGCTATGCTATCCTAGTTTCACCAAGTAGTTGTATCAAATTTGTGCAATTTGATGTCTATGCTGAAGGTACTGGCAAAAATAATGGTAAACAGAAAACTTAAGCAATAGTTTACAAAAATCTGAATAATGTTGGACTGTGTTAATATTGTCTTAGAGGCTGCTTCAATGTGCCTTTCGTCCTTATGGATACTAAATTTCCTCGGAAAGGCCACATGAAAAGTGAGAGGCATGGCAGACTGCCTGACTTTGCAGGATTGGAGTATAGGTTACTTCATTCAGTAGGAAGATAATACGGTATTCTCAATAATGATCTTCTCTTTGCCATGGGCTTTATTGAGAGATCTGGATGGATCAGGTGTTTCTCCTTTGTTCATCACTTTTTTTCTCTAGGAGCAGCTGGGGTTGCCAACAATCTTATTCAGTCATAATTGTTATCAAGATCCATTAATTTGAGTTGCACTATCTTTATGCGTCTTATTTCCAGTGGACTAGCTTCGTGCACTGTAATTCTTAAAGATATGCTTATTTCCTGTTTCTGACTTTTTGGTGGACTGCCCTTCAGGTGGTTCACACGAAGTGGTTGGAAAAGAACAAAAGAGGATTCCATTTTGGAGGTTAAGTCCTTCCATTCCAGCTCTACTTGGTTTCTTGAAATTATCAAATAATTCCAGCCTAGTTTTTGAATCCCCATAGTCATCTTGTATGTTCTCTCTAGTCTGCTGTAGGTTTGTTTTATGAAATTTACTACATTCTGATCTTTTTACAACCACCATGCAATGAGATATTTAGCATTATCTATGCTTTGTATGGTTTTAGATGTATGTTTGCAAAAAATTAGAGTCTTTTGATTTTGAATATCATTATTTGAATGTTCTATCAGAAAGCAAAAGTGAAATCTTTGTATCTGAACAGTCACATTTCCAATTCTTTCATTTGCAGCTTAAAAGTGCTTATGCAATTGCTAAATTGAGGAGAACTGGATACTCAAAACAAAAGTTCTATCAAGAGGCTATAAATTTATACAAGGAGGTGCGATACTTGCTCTTAAATTTTAACTACACTATGCAGTTCAGGAGCTTCACTTTTTCTATATGATTTTAATTTATAAGGCCATTTGGATATAGGAAATATCAAAATGAGATGCCCACACAAAATATCTACCTGTCTGATTCAAATTAATATACTCTATTTATATTCTATATGCCACTGTGATGCCCTATATTTACCCATGTTTTCTTTCTTCTCTTTTTGGTGTCATGGAGTGGGAGAAGTTGGTAGGTTGGAACGAAAATAACTTACTTTTCATTTTTCAGCATTTTTCCTATGTTGTATTGTCCCTCTTTACTGATTGTATTTAGTTTCCTTCTTCCATGTGCTAAAGCGTTTCTCTTTGTTCACAGATTAACACTCTACTGGTGATTGGCGACAAATCATCATTAAGGAAAGCAGTAACCGAGAATATGTACTCTGTATGCTTGAGTTCTTTTTAGCTGCTTTCATGAGATTCTGTCTTATATCCTCTGTTAGTCTGTCACATTTTCAGATTCTTTTAGCCTCTTAGCTTTTTGATCAAGTTGCAAATGGTACTTTTAAGCTTTCACCCATTATTTTCAATCTTCATACTGTAGGTACTCAAGAATGAAATTAAGCAAAGAGAGTCCATGTGGAGTAAGGTGTACTGGGAAATGGTTGAACCAGTTGTCAGGATACGGACTCTGCGGGCTCGTCTGGAAAGTGTCCTTTTCTTTCATCTTCTTAAAGCTTCAGTCAACAGTATTGACATAACTGAAGTTCTCTTACATTTTACCTATCTAGCAATAATGAAATCTGGCTAGTTGAATAAAAGCTGTTCAAATCCCTGTCTACAAAGTGGCATTTGGGAGCAGCCATCCACTTGCTAAAAGTCTTAAACCAGATCTTATGCTTGGCTAAATAATAACATTATATCTGAGGATTCCCTATGTTCATAAAGTTTCAGCATTTCACTTTCTTTCCCTTGGCTAACTTCACGTCTTCTTAGGAATCCATTAACACCAGATCCAAGAGTAGGAAATATACTAGTGTCTGAACAATGGAAAAAGGACGTCTACCATTCACTAACTTTCTGGTCTCTGGTACATGTGATCTCTCTTTATTATGAGCACTTCTCCCAATTGCCATGAAGTCCCCAATTGTAGATTATGAATTTGGTGATTTCATCATTCAAAGACGTGCCATACATCCAGAATTTTCTTTTGTCGCTAATATGATTCAACAACAAACTATGGGGACTTTTACCTAATGATCGTCTGCTTTGTAATGCTTGAGAGATTTTTGGTAATTAAAAGAGCATGTTTTAACATTATTCAGAAGACATGTTTTAAAAGACAAACCCTCTCTTCATTCATTTAGGGAGTTGCTTTTATGTCTTTATATGCAGATTGTGTGACCGAATGATCTCAGAAGTGTTCATACAGCTTACACTTGA